ACAGCCCTGGCAGGATGCGCCCGACCCCGATAAACCCCGCTCAGGAAGGAACAGGGCTGTTTCTTCAACTTCCCAATGGGAAAAACAGCCGGGGCGAAGCTTCCCCTTCCCAAATGGAATGGTTTGGAGGGGGGAACCCCGAGGCTTTAGCCAGGGCACTGCATTGGTGAAGCAGGATTCATCCCTGAGGTGAATCAGCAGCTTGATAAATACCTGTGTGATGAGTTGCCTGGTCTCATGCGGCTCTGCTCCCCCAGAATCCTGCTCATGGGGGTCAGCACATCCTCTCAGGGGGCAGCCAGTTCCCCTCGAGGTGGGGGAACAGCTTCGGGATGTTCCCGCCGGTGACTTCAGCCTCTGACTCAAGCAGGGAAGGGATTAAAGAGGAAAAAGAACCCCGAGCGCTTCTCTCCCTCCTCCCCTCCCTCCCCACCGGCGAAACCCCGGCCGGGCTCCGGTGCTGCCGGCCCTCGCCCAAATCCTCACCCTCCAGAGCTGCCGCTTTTCCTCCTCCCCAGCCGAGCTGCAGAAAATTAGGGGGAAAAAAGAATAATCTTAAAAAAAAAACCTAAAGAAAAAAAGAAAGAAAAAAAAGATTTCTCGGGGGTTAATGGGAACCATGTGCTCGTCGCATTCCTCTTTGTGCCGGGGCTGACGGGATCCCGGCGGCCCTACGGCGGCACCCCCCGGGTCCCCCCAGACGGGGCCGTCGGGCTGGTCGAGGCTCCAGGGGTGCAGTAATGGGAGTCCTGCCCCCTTTTTTATGGGGTTCCCACCCCTCCCCACGTAGCTCCATCCTGTTTTGGGGTGGCTGAGGCCACATTAGGAAAGGCCCCCCTGGCTTCCCCAATATCTGCTAGGGTGGGGGCTGAGGTGGGATCGATGAGGGGCCACTTTTGGGGCATCCCCACGCCCCCAAAATTGAGCTCTTTACAGCTGTCCCCCAACTCTGTTTGCTGTCCCAGGGACCTCTGGGAGGGTGCTGCGAGGATGCCCAAGGAAAAAGGGATGGGGTGGGGGGACAGAGTGCTTGGTCCCTTTGTCTCCCCCGTCCCGTGGTCCCCTTGTCCCCCTTGTGCCTGATCTGGGGGTGGCCTTGCAGTCCCCCTCACTTATCCCCGGTCTCCCACCCTGCAGCCCCACAGCCCCCTTCCCGTACCTGAGCGTGCCCTGTCCCCTATGGGGCGGTGGCCCCCCGTGACCCCCTGCCCGGGAGCCCCCCGTCCCCTCCCTGGGAGCGTCCCCAATCCCCTCCTTGGGGGTGGCTCTTGGTCCGCTTGTCCCATCCCAGGATGGCTCTGCGGTCCTTATCCCATCACCTGGCGGGTCCCGTGTTCCATTTGGGGTGTCCCCTCTCCCCTCTTTGGGGTGTCCCCAATCCCGCACCTGGGGTGGTCCCTACCTGGGGGTGGCCCCAGTTCCCTACCTGGGAAGGTCGTACCTTGCGGGGGGAGGTTCCCTGCCCAGGGGGGTGTCGCCTGCCCGGAGGTGGCCCTGCAACCCCTCAGGGGGTGGCCCTGTCCCCGTCCCTGTCCCGTACCTGGGGAGCCGGTGCGGGTCCCTCCGTGCGCTCCGCGGGCGCGGCGGGGGCAGCGGGGAGGCAGAGCCGCCCGGCATCACCGCCCCTTCCTCCCTCCTCCTCCTCCTCCCTTCCTCCTCCCCCTGCCTGCCCCACAGCCCCGGGCGGGGGAGGGCGGAGGGGGGCACACGTCCTTAGGGTGCCCCACGTCCTTAGGGTGCCCGGTGCACCCCGGGGTGCCTCACAGGTCCTTAGGGTGCCACATGTACCCCCTGACTGCTGCATGTACCCCAAAGTGCTCCATGGGACCTCAGGGTGCCTCGCGGACCCAGGGGTGCCCCATATGTCCCCACGGTGCCATCTGGCTGCCCCTCTGTGCTCTGGGATGACCCACCCCCCCCGTTCATCCCCCCGACTCCCCCGATCGCCCCAGGCACCCTCAGGGTGCCCATTACCCCCCATCCCCGGGGTGCCTGTGTGCCCCAATACAGCCCCATGTGCCCCCGGTGTCCCCACAGACCCCCAAGGTAACCCCTACATCCCTATACATCCCCAGGCACCCACAGTGGCCCCCATGCAACTCCATACACCCCCAAAATGCCCCATACTGCTTCTCTGTACCCTTGGGACACCAATGTGCCCCCATAGAGCCCCAGGGTGCCCCATATACCCCCAGACAGCCCCGGGTGCCCCCTGTGCCCCCAGCCAGCCCCAGGATGCTCCCAACATCCCCACCCCCCCTTCTGCTCCCCCCATCCTTTGGGATTCATGCCCAGGCAGCCAGAACCCCCCTCCCCAAACTGCACCCCACCTTCCCAGAGCCCATGGCCCCCTGGCACGGCACATCCATGGTGAGGAAACTAAGACACGAGGGCACCTGCCAGCCAGAGAGTGACCCCCCACTCCGTGCCTCAGTTTCCCTTTCCAGGGAGGAACTGCACCACCCACCTCCTCCAAAAAG